GCCCCACTTGTTCCTCTCCAGTTCTGCCTCTTATGCTGCTGGCAACGATCCTCAGGTGGGCCTTCCACATCCAACCCCACCCTGACTTGGTTCAGCTGGGTGTTGCAAGTTGACCACCAGTTGTCAATCTACCACACCTCTATTTTCTGCTCCTTGGGAAATAATAACCCTACAAGTACATTACAGAATGCGAGAATATTAAGAATGCTAGTATGAGACCCAGCCTATACCAGTTAGTCTTCCTTCCTTCTCTCCTGTCTCTTTCTCCTTGCCTTCCTCCTCTCTCTCTTTCCCCTTTCCTCCCTTCCTTGTTTGATTTATTCAGTGCTTTCTGTATTCCAAGAATCACCGTGGAAGAGACACATAGAATCCTAAAACCGAGAAGGTCATCATTCACTCATCAGCCACCATGTGCCAAGATTGCTGTTAAGCCCCTGGGCTACCTTATTTCCATTCTCCCTGATCTGCACCTGAGAAGAGGCCTTCACCGCCACTCATTCACGAAGCAGCAGCCGAGGCCCAGGAGAGCCGTGTGTCTCGCCTGAAGCTCCACAGCCACTGGCAGCAGAACCGTGTTGGCAGGCGCAGCTGTGTACGTCCAAAGACCATGTTCCTTCGGTAGACTTTGCTGCACTTCTCAGCTCCAAATGTGGATAGTAGAAGAGCTTTAAGAAAAAGTCCAACCTAGACAAAGGGGCCAACGCACCGTTCTGTCACTCACCACAGCCTTCTTGTGCTAGTAATTATCAATTTTGGTCCATGAAAATTCAGTCGTACAGAACCAGTTAAAGACTTTTGAAAACCGCTTAGAGGTTAGATGCAAGACTCCCCCTCAGCTCTTATACCTCACTTGTCTGACAATCAAGGGTGCATTTTCCAGTTTTTTCCATCTCCTTGTTATTTGCACACATAAAATATATCTAATGCTTTATTTTTTAAAAAAAATATAGGAAGCTGCCTCTTTCTAAAACATGGTTCGAAGTCTAAGACAAGTTAGGATATTACATTGTTTCAGTAATGATGTAGAAAGAGCAGTCTTTCCACACGGATTAAATATAATATTAATGGCTTATATTTGCATAACATGTTTATTACAAGAGCTTTTGTATATCCAGTTTCACTTGATCCTTCTAACATCGTTTGTACAATACGTACAGTGCTCTAATCCTTCTAGTAATCCGTGTACACAGAGTCAGTATTTCAGTGTGTATTAGGCGCAGGCGTGGCTCCTCTGCATCTCTCAGTTGGTGATGCAAAACAGCTTTAACTGAACAGGAGGGTTAGCACCGCACACCCTCAGTGCTCTGCTGTCCTACCTTAAACAATTTCCCCTCACGCTTCCATTCTTTCTAACCTTTCCGGCCCACAGGAGATAAAGCCCATGAGGACGAGAGCCCCCGCCTTTGCCTCTGCTCCCTGGTAACAGCCTGCCTGGACTTGCTGCTCCGGCCCATGTGGCTCTGGTTTGCCCCGTACTCTGTGGACCTACTCTTACATCTGACACTCTGAGTTGGCCTTCTACTGTCTTTAAAGCAAAGTCCAAAACCCATAGCTATGACTCTAGACCTTCATCGATCTCCTGAATACTTACTTTTTTATTTTTCTTTTTGTGTTAGCCCTTGTTTGCAGTGCATAACGTGCATATTCCTTGTGTGGAGTAGGTGTGGGTGCAGAACGCCCCCTCGTTCCTCTCCTTACCCCTTTCCTCTGCTCTCTTCCCCTCCCCCATATTTGATCCCCTCATTTGATCAAGAATTATCTCTTTACTTCCTATGATCTATCTTTTACTTTGATCTTTATTTATACTTTGGGTTTTTCATACAGGAGAAACCATGCAATATTTAAGCTTGTGTGTCTATTTCCCTTAACATTATAGTCTCAAGTTGCATCCATTCTCCCACAAATGGTTCAAATTTATCTTTCTTAATGGCAGAGCATACTCCATTGTGTGTAAATACTGTGTATTCTTTATCCATTTATCTGTTGATGAACACACAGGCCACTTCCAAAATGTAGTTGTTATGAGTTGTGCTGCTATAGACATGGGTGTGCATGGATCACGGACTGGGATGTGATACACTTAACTCTTTCAGGGAGACACCTGGAAGAGGAATAGAATACTTTTCTACTCTGCCTCTGACCAATTGCCCTGATTAGCTCTAAACATACTTGGTTGTTCTCCTTTCACAAACAGACCGCGTGTTCTCATATCCGTGTTCCTCAGTTTCCACCACTTATAAAAGCCTTGGTTCTCTCTTCATCAATTAAAAGCCTCCATAATACCCAAGCATCTCTCTTTGGAGTTTCTCTTGCTCTTCAAGCCAGAACATACTCCACCGCCTGACCTATGTTGGCATCTCTTCCTTCCTCCACAGCACTGTCAAAAACGCTTGTGATCTGCTTTACTGGAAATGAATCTCTGTACGTATTGTGGCTTATAAACCTGTGTAGGCTGTGACCTTTTACTTTTCACCTTAGCTCACTATTCTTTCCAACACACTGGTCATACTCATCAGAGGATTCGTCAAACTTCAAATATCTCTCTGTTTCACAGTCTTCCTGGATCTACTAGGGTCTGACTCTGGGACCTTGCAAAAATGACTTCACCCCTTGATATGTCAGTTCTGTCCTGTGTCACATGGACAAAGATATTGAAAACTTTGAATCTGATTATGCCAAATGAAGTATGTATTTAATATGAAAATTTATTATATAGATAGGCTTATAAGCATATATTTCATGAGTATGTAGGAAGAACTGCTCAAATGTTAAGTTGAATTGTTTTTCCTAAGGAGAACTATTGTAATTTGTTTTAATCATTACACCCTAAACTCTGTGTCGGTCATGTAGGCCATAGGCATATGATTGCGCAACATGACATTTTAAATTCATTTGTCAATATCGGGGGAAATTCCTTCCCACTGATTATAAGGGTGCCCAAGCAGCTACACAAAGCACAAAGGGGAGGAAATAAATGGCCAAGAACTGACAGGCACTGGGCTGTGTGTGTCAGCGGACATTTATCTCACCTTAGGTAAATCACTGATGAAATAAAAAATTTCCCATCCATCATTTGGGCACACACTAAGCTTCTTACAGCTGTGGGGAATTAATTTGGTTTGATTCATAACCTTAATTACTTAACTTGTTATATTTTACGTAAAAACAATATCATAATCTTCCCTGCCATGACATCTTTCGTCAGTGGGTATTAAGAGTCACAACAGATGTCCCAGGCTATAACCCAGGAGAGTACAAT